TGGTGGCAGAGCGTTCACCAGAACAGGAAGCCGCACAACATTTTCTCACTCTCAAAATGAAAAAATGACGCAGAGGTGCGAGGAACCACAGACCACCGGGAAAGGCAACCAGGCATCGAACCAACGCCAACAATTGCCCAAGTATCATGGTCCTCTGCGTGAATGTTTACACGTAGCAGGAAACTGGAGCACCTGGAGAAAACCCACGCTTGTGAGGAAGGATCACTCTTATCGCATATAGGTGGAACAGACGGAGTCCACATTTGATGTAGTGCCTTCTCCTGGCAAGCCAGGGCATAGGCGTCAAATGTGTGAGGTTCACCGACCTTCGCCTCCAAGGTGCTCTGGATTTGCAGGGGTGTGTGCCACAACTGCCCACGGATGGACTATTTAAAACTAAATTTCGATTTAAAGCTTCCGTGACTGCAGGGATTCATCTTCTTGGTTCTTTTTCATCTTCTTGGTTCTTTCGGTACGTGACTTTACCGAAAGAACCAAGAAGATATTTAAAACTATTTTTTATTTGAGCACATAATGTCCACTGAGCGAAATAGCTCGTTTTCAGAAGCGACCTGGCCACAAATGAGAGCTAAACGAAGTGGCCTATCATGTGGACATTTCTATCAGCTTATAATGTGGGAATTTATAGCAGCAGCCAAATAATCTAAAGGAATGTTTCTAAATATGGAGGGAAAAACCGGAGGACCCGGAGAAAAATCCACGCAACAACACGGAGAACATGCAAACTCCAAAAATACAGGCGTCAGGGTCGGGATGGAACCCACGACCGGGCGAGGTAGTTAATATCTCGCCACTGCGAAAGGCGATGATGGAGACAGTGTAAATTTGTAATGCTCTGATGCTTATAAACACACGTACTGGATAAATCACTTTTATATAAGCTGCATTTTGGATCGCAACGCCACTCAAACGTACCTTAAAATGCACACTCCCGTGCCCATAACCAGGATAGGCAAAACTCGAGCGTGGCAATCCAAGACCCCAATAAAAGGCAATTATTATCACCAACCTGGAAGCGCAGTATGTCTCAGCATTACACCAAGAGATAATGAGCGTAGGCACAGTAGGTGAAAGAGCAACTAATTCTATGTTCGAGGTCACCCATCCAAACACTGACAATGTCCACAGAAGCTTAGAATCAACGCTTTGAAGCGGCTGGGCTTGGCGAGCTTGCAAACCTCCCAGGGTGCAAATATGCTTCCAATTACCTGCCCATTCATGCTTTTCCAATCACACTTTGCGCAAAGTGCCAAGTAATTCACTTCCATGAAAATCCTGCCCGCCTGCTCGTACATAAATTTACGAACATTAATTTTGTCGGAGCTGCGATGGGCACCCGGGTGGTGTTCGTGGCGTCTGTGCGGCGATGTGTTGGGAAAACGCCGCGTCATTTAGTTTTAATTGATTGAGTGAGTGATTGATTTACGAGTGTCACCACGCCTGTTATCTTGCCCCCCCCCCCAACCCCCCCACCCCAGCGCATAAAGGAAGACATGCCGATTAACGGCTATAGGTTTCAGTTGTTAACTTGCAATGGCATTTTGACGAAGTCTCGTCTTGGATTCGCTCCAACTTCCTCCAGCCAAATATTGCTGAACCTAAAGTACTCCTGAACGACGAGGTCACCTCCTGCACGCTGACAACCAACACTGGCAGTGTGCCAAACCTTGACTCTGTCATTGATCGAGATGTCTTATTCTCTGTCCCACATATATCAACTCTGCGGGTCCTCATACCTCATGCATTTCAACGTCTACCACATCCACGATTTCCTTCGCGTAGCTGCTACCGAGCCCTTCATTACATTCCGACTCAACGACTGCAACGCTCTCCTGTACGGGATCCCCAGATCCATCTTCTACAAACTGGTGTTGGTCCAACATAATGCTGCCGGACTTCTCACCCGCTCACGCAAGTCTGACATCACGCTAATACTCAAATCAACTGCTTCCCAATACAAACATGGACCAATTCACGCTCACCTTAAACACCTTCAAGACCCTCCACGAACTCGCCCCTCCGCATCTCTTCCCTCTCAACTTACTCCACTTCCATGCACACTCTCTGCTCCAGCGACCAAGGTTTTATGTTAAAGCCCGAGTCAAACGTCACTCAGTGGAACTCCTCCGCCGAGCCGCCCACGCTCTTGACTCCTTGTCCCCCAGAACATGTCCAGGTTCAAGCTTTTCCTTATTCCCTCGACCTATGATTGTAGCCATCTCCTTACATGCCCAGTTTTCGTACACCATCTCGAGACATTCACATTTATTATCTATGGAATTACGCATTGCACTGTAATTGTATTACATTGGTATAACGTTTCAGGAATCCAAGCGGCAGTCAATGTGTCTATAAATTGACCTGATCTTCTATTCTGGTCGACTGTAATTGGTGATTTTTACCTTAAGTGTGCATAGCAGCAGTTTAACTCGGCTAAATTCCTCATAGAATCGTATAGAATCCCCATGTGTTGCACTAATATTCCGGGCCAAAATCCCTTTTGGAATCCCATGCAAATAAAGTGAAATTAACATGGAAATCACCCATCGAAGAATGAAAATTCCTATATCAATCCTTTGTTGCGGAATCGTATAATCAGAAATCCCTGCCGGAATAGCCCAACGCGTCAGCAGTGCTGACGGAAAGATCAAGGGCTCACAAAGCCTCCAGTGCAGAATGGAGTTTGTGTTGACGAGGCAAAAGACCCAATCTAAAGAAAAAACCCTTGACTAATTGAAGTCCTTAGCTCGGCTGTAATATGATTTTCATATTTTCGCAGTGTGAACCCAAATCTACATATTTGATTTTTTTAGATATTCTAAATTGCATATGGACGTGTCTCGATTTAAGATACCTACAATCTGCCGACAAGCTCTGGCTAATTGGTGTCTTATTACCGAAGAAAATGAATTATTTATACATGTTAACTGAAAATATTTAATGAATCATAATGTATGTAGAAGTAAAAAACACAAGCATGAGTCAATGATGCATTTAAACACCTTCACATGTAACATCTATTTTGCGGTTCATTTTGAGTCGCAATAAAATATTTTTTAAAAACCCATCTATTTTGCAGTGGCAAAAACTATATAAATATATTTTTTATTTTAGCAGGTAAGGCCCACTGAGCTATATATAGCTTTTTTCAGAAGCGACCTGGCCATAAACGATAGCTCAACGAAGTGGCTTATCATGTGGAAATTAATAGCAGCCAAATACTCTAAACGCATGCTTCTAAATTTGGAGCGAAAAACGGACCCAAAGAAAAATCCACGCGACCACGGGGAGAACATGCAAACTCCAAATAAGCAGGGGTCAGGGTCGGGATCGACCCCACAACCTCATGTATATCAGGCGAGATAGTTAACATTTCACCACCGCGAGATGTTCAGAATGAAGCTGATAAAAGTGTGAAACATCCTACATGGCATCACTAACAATCACATCAATGCCAGTCATTTGGTGACAGCTTACCATTTTTCAGTCAATGCTTCTGCACAAATGTGGGGTCCTCTCCTCCATTCTGCTGCCCATATGGTCTGGAAGAATATTACCTTCACACGTGCGCAGGGTGGAAGATGTGCAGGCTACATTGCAGTGGGCACCCAGAGGTCTGAGACCAAGGAAGACACGGTGGTGCTGAGACTAAGATCAGATATTCGAGGTCAGTTGACGATTGTCACAATCGCAGCAGTGATGGCGAGGTGCGGTGCCTTTGTCAATGCTCTTGAAAACCTCTTCACTGTGATTCATTAATTGAACCCATTAACGCACTGTGCTGAGAACCCGGCAACTCGAGTTTGATTTCTGGCCACAAGTAACATCAATAACGTTGATACATGAACCAGTTCTGGGCTCGATTTCACCAACCCACAATGACAACCGTGGCGAAGAATGGCGAAACAGCCTTGGAGAATGACACAGAATGGGGAGGCCATCATACAACAGTAGATTGACAAAGGTCTGGATTATTATAATTATTTATTACACGTTGCCTTACACAGATCAGTTTTGTATTCGGAAACTGTATGAATGCTAATGGGATACGATTGCAATAGCAATCATTGGCATCGTGAGAGCTGCACACTGATAACAAGTACAAAGCCACAGGGAAAACAGCAACAAAACAAATATAGCAATTTAATGGACAAACTGTTTTGAAAAAGAATCATGAAAATAATTATTGCAGTAACATTTCTCTCCACAGACCACCGTGCATGAGATTACAGCAGAACGTGAGATCTGTCACTTTCTCCAGGGTCGTAGTCACGATAATGTGACACGTATTAAGTGCCCACCATAATACTGAATGCACAGTTATTGCACCAAGGTTGCTAATCATGTTTAACGAATGCGGCAATTAAATTGTCTGCAAAATTTGCCACCCGAGAAGTCAATTAACAAAGCAGATTTGAAATTGCCGACCCAACATTTTTCTCCCATTTCTTTCGCACAATAGCATTGTGAAAAACAGTGAGAAAATTGTACTATTTCATGAGGGAGATGAAATATGGAGAAATCCAATGAGCTATGACGCTCTTTTTCAAGGATTTCCAGTAGGACCGCAGTGTGTTCAAATGAGCGTTGCTTGGCGATCGGCTCATTTGGTGGTCTTGAGCCGGTGGCAGAAATGAAACACTCCAAGTGGGAAACAATCTCTCCACAGCACCATCACTGTCGACTTCAAAACAAAGTCGTATTCATTTTTCGATTTCAAGCTTTCGTGACTGCAGGGATTCATATTCTTGGTTCTTTCGGGTGAAGTCACGTAGAAGGGAAATAATAAAATAACAAAAATTAAACATAAGATGAAATTATCACGACGTTCCGGCCACAACGCAAGCAGCCGTCCTCACGGGAAGATCAGGGCTGTCGGAAAGACAGCGTCCTAATAAACTGTCTTTCCGACAGCCCTGTTCTTAACCTGAGGACGGCCGCTTGCGTTGTGGCCGAAACGTCGTGAGAATTTTATCTTATTATGTTTTATTTTATTATTTTATTATTTCCCTTCTACGTGACTTCACCGAAAGAACCAAGAATATAAAGTCGTATTAATTTTACCGATCCCAAAGGTATGAGCTGGATCGACACTTCGACCATGATATAAACTCTCAACCTTGCTCAACGAGTCAGCGATATACACACAGACACACACGTCTCTTGCTCAGTTTATTATGTCAACATTTACACGTGGCTGCAAAAAAAAACCCAAGTCAAAATCATTCAAATGTAGGCACCTGCGGGTCACATCCACCAAGCCCTGGCTAACACAATGCAGAGAATGGAAAATTTAAACTCAAGAAATAATTCTGCCAATGCAGGCCTTTGGGCAGGAGTGGCGGCTTAGAGCGGCGAGGGCATGGGGGGAACGGGGATGGCATCGGAACAAGCTCTCGAGTGAATTGCTGAATAATGCAACAAACAGCACACTCGGCCAATACAGTTTGATGTACACTTAATGCGGGTTGCTTCAAAGTGCTCCCTCTGACAACTAGATCACTCTGGGGGAGGGGGTTAAAGAGAGCAATGTACGGTGAGGTACGGGAGTTGGAGATGATGAAGGTCCTCCTCGTGTGGCTCTGGCTGGGGTGGCTGGGGGACCTAACGCCGCGATGGCTAAATCAGTCGCTCTCAAGAGGCATCGGGGTGCCTCACGGGGCTCATGGTGTTCTTGTCAGGTCACGGAGCTGGCAGTGATACAATTCTGGGTTTGAATCCGGGCAAGATACCTGTTGATTAAACGAGGTTTGCCAAGTGTTTGTTTTCTGACCGTTTGTTAAACACTGTAGAAAATAACGTTCAGTTTTGCTGATCGAGCTTTTGTTGACTTCACGAAGACCTCTTCTTTGCTGTAGTGTCTCCGGGGTAGGGTTGGTGGATTGTGGAGTGATGAAGTCTGCGTGAAGCTCCGATCTGCAGGGGAATAAAAGACATAGGCAGGTTTGAAACAGGCGTCCTTATGTGAAGTTTGTGTTGACCCCTCAAATGTGTTTTTTTTTTTTTTACCGGACACGTTAGTCTTCCAAACATACTAAAAATATACTAAAACCTTGGACATCTTCAAACTTTCGTAAGATACCTTCTGTACCACTTTCTACCAGCTACACCCTGCCACTCTACTCACTGCTGTAATCTCTGCATAATCCACCAACCCTAACCCAAGTTTCCGCATTCCAGGCATACGTCATCACCCCTGGTAAATATTCATTTAGGAAGGTAAAGGCGCAGCTCTGCAATTTATTGCTCACGTCACCGTTGGCAGAAGGACCTCCGCTAGAGGGAGCTCCATTGCCCCTGTAGAAGATATTTGGCCTACTTTTTCACGCTGGCTAAACATCTTTGGAGACTGCGCCGGACGCAACCTGCCAATCAACTGCGGTGTACCCATTTAAACCGCCGGCTTGACACAGACTGAGGAATGTAATACACTTGCCCATTGCCTCAACTGCTGCACCATGAGACCGAACACACGACCTCTGGATGACAAGCCCAGTGTGCTAACCATTAACACCACGGCTGCATCTAAGTGTTAAACATTCAAAGGGAAAGCCCACGAAACGTGACAGGAGAAAACACCCACAAAATGCACAACCCGCCGTTATGCACCCACCGGCCGGGGTCTGGAAGGCGTCTGTCAGGGCCTCTTGTCTCGCGAGTGTTTGACATCCTTCCCTTTCGCCTCCGCGTCGTCTTCGTCGTCCTCGTCGTCGTCGTCGCTCCCGGCGGTCGAGACGTAGATGGGGTCGCGGTTGGGCGGGACGTCTCGCTGCAAGCGTCGCCAGCGGTTGGGCGGCCACACCACGTGCGAGGCTCGAGCGTGCAGCAGCCCCACCGACACCTGCGAGAGGCCGGCAACCGTCAGAGACCTCATTGCCACCGGTTTCTACGGCCAGTGTGAACCAAAGCTGGCTCAGTACTAGTAGCTCAAGCTTGGGCGCCAAGAGTACGCCATCCGCCGTTTGATCCTGTGGAAATCCCAGTCCCCTGGTCCCCCCCCCCCCCCCCCGACTCGTTCACTGCACCGTTGTATGAACTTAAGAGCCAGGCTGAGCCCAGAAAACCAGATGTGATGTTATGGGGTCAATTTAGAAAGGAAAAGTGTGCCGTGTAATGTCACTTGCTGGGTTTGAACTTCTTTGCTGTGCTAAGTGTAAAAAATAACAATATAAAAGTGCAGAGAATTTGTTTTGGATATTAAAATAGTCTAATATAACGTGCACCAATGTTAAACTTAATCAAACGTATTCTAGATTTGAAGTTTTCGTGACTGCAAGGATTCATATTCTTGGGTTTTTTTCGGTAAAGTCACGTAGGTAAAAAAAAGTAAAATTAATAAAAGTAAAATAAAAATAAAATAAAATGTGTTGCCTCCGAAACGTCGTGATTTTAATTTTATTTTTATTTTACTTTTATTAATATTAAAAAAATTTTACCTACGTGACTTTACCGAAAAAACCTAAGAATATTAATCAAACGTAACTGTTTCTCACATTTCCTTCCATGTGTAGGCACAAGACAAGGAGATTGGGGGTGGGGGGTGGGGGTGAGGTTACGTGTGAGGGAAGGTGATAGCAGGAGAGTCCGAGCCAATTAAGCCGCATGGCTCACGGAGCTTAGGGTGTGAAGCTCGCAGCGTTCCTGAAACATTTCTGGGCCAGAAGCGCATCCCAGTTCCCACTGGCCATGAAAGCCAGAGATGGCAACACCGATTCTTGGGTAGAGAAAGGATTGAGAGGAGCCAGCTTGCTGAAGGCTAATCAATTGAAGGTTAGTCAATTAAAGATTAATCAATTGATCAACAGAAATCGAGGGATAGGTGTAATGCGATGTTTCACCCATTCCACGTTTGAATAAATTATCATAATTCCGGGTTAAGATTTGATAATGAAACGGATTCTATTTTACTCTTGTGGTGTGGTTAACCTAAACTGATACAAATCTACAGAGCCAATACAATAGCATTACAAACATGTGAATATAAAAACTAGATTTTAGTACTTACGTTAAGTCTGGTTTTTTACAAGTGCTCACCAAAACGCTCCGGATATAAACAATAGAACACCAATCCAGTGCCCAGCACTCAGCGAACTTCGCCAATGCATATGTTACATTTTCACGAATTCATATACAGACAGTCCCCGGGTTACGGAAGGGTTAGGTTTCCGAGAATGATCCGTAACCAGAATTTTGCGTGTGTCGGAAACTGAATCATTTCCCCCCCAAAATCAAGATGAATTACATTTACCTTCATCCAAGTGACACTCGAGTCAGGAGTAAGGCGGGCAGCCTTACGCCTCGCTCCACAGTCTTCATCCACAACCTCACCGTGCTGCACTACTAGCGGGTACATCACTAATTTTTTAAAGATGATTTATAGAAGCATTTCCGTATGGTCGGATTTCCGTAAATTGGGTCTTCCGCAACCCAGGGAGACTGTCTGTACTGGGGGAGGGTTCACCAAAAGAGAAAGCTAACAACCAGCAGATAACAAAAGTGTGTTTCTGAAATGAACCAACATTCACATGGTATTATTATATTTTTTCGTGAACCTACCGCACCTGCGATTAGCACGGTTGGCTTCGTACGGTGCGAAAGAAGTTTTCTGGTTCCCGTGAAAATCAGACAGCACCTTCGGCGTGAAACGGTGGTGACGTTCTGAACACCGCCATTCCCTTGCAAATGACAGGGAACGGAGGACCTTCCACCAGGGCCTGCAGCTTGCTAACCCTTCTTGGCTGAGGGAGGCGATGGCCACCAGGAGGACTGTCTTAATAACTAGCAGCCTCTCCGAGCACGTGGCTAATGGTTCAAGGTAGTGGGTCTGCATAAGGGGCCGTCCATAAATGACGTCACGCGATTTTGGACGATTTTTGACCCCCCCCCCCCCCTCGTCACACGGCGTCACAAGAAGTCAGACCCCCCCCTCAAATATGACGTCACAAAGCTCTGCCCCCCCGCCCCAAAACCATATTTCCATTTTGAAAATAAAACATGCATCAAATCGCTTTAAACTATTGTCATTGTAGTTCGTATTTAATGTGACGCTGCACTATGATGTTGTAGGAGAAAACATTTATTAAAAAGTATATTTAATTAAGTAGAACGTGCCGTCTATATTTATTTAAAGTTGCGCATTTTGATGTGACGTCACATTTCTCACCCCCCCCCCCCCTCGTCACACATCGTCACAAATGTCTGACCCCCCCCCCCCTCCAGGTACGTGACGGCATTTATGGACGGCCCCTAATACGTCCAGCACCTTGTGCAAATTCCATGGGCCACACTTCATTGCGCTCAGTAGCCTAGAAATATATATTGTTTGAGCCTATCGGGCTCCGCCCTACGGCATCGTGGAATACCGAAATAACCGAGGCCCTCCCCTTGAGGGCCGCCACTGACAAGACCTGATTGCAAGGCCTCCACTCGGTAACGCGACCACGGCTGTACACCACAGTACGCTGGGTCCAACCCTCTGTCTCCTTGTTTTACCGTGTTTTACTGATGCCAGCAATGTTGCCTCGTTATTAGAGGCGCCATATTCTCTCCTTTGTCATGGAAACCCAACCCTGGGTTTTGTCGAGTATGGCACCAAGGTGATTGAGCCTCCGTGATGGGACCAGACTGGACTTTTGAGACGGACTTTTCAAGCGCACTCTCCGGATCTGCGTTTAGGTGAGCAGCTTCCACGATAAAAATATTTGTGAAGATGCTAGGGGAAGCCGATAGACCAAGCGGTGAGACCTGCAATCCCAGTGATCTCCCAGAACACTGAATCTCAGGAACCTGTGGTTCCACTTCCTTCCACTGACGCCACCACATTTCCTATACAAATGGCCTTGGAAATTGGCACCAGAGATTTTATTCATCAACCTCCTGTACCTTGAGGTGCCGATATAGCCTTCTGAGGTCTAGGATTTCCCTGAAGCCCCTCTGAGGCCTTTGACGACATAAACAATTTTGCAAAGAACACAAGACCCCCACTAGCCCCTGGGGCCCTCTGTTATGGCCCCTATATCCAGGAACCTTGACACCTCTTGTTTACAAAGCTCCCTACAGGAACGGGTACAATGGTGGCCCAGTCCACCGAGAGATCTGCGTGGTGGGGGCACACAATTCAGACTGTATCCTTGTCGAATCACTCGGAAGTACCCATTCTCTTTGGTTCTTTCGGTAAAGTCACGTAGGTAGAAAAATAATAGATCACGACGTTTCGATCGCAACACAAGCAATCGTCATCAGATCGCAATGCAAGCAATCGTCATCTGATGACAATTGCTTGTATTGCAATCGAAACGTCGTGATCAATTAGTTTTCTACCTACGTGACTTTACCGATAGAACCAAAGAGTATGGATTCCTGCAATCACGAAAGCTTCAAATCAAGAGTACCCATTCGTTTGCAAGACGCACTCGCCCATGTATTTTCGAACTGCAAAAACCTCCCACCCCCGCGGCCGTCGCAGCAGAGGGAGCAATATGTAGATGGTCCCACGCCCCCGTTTCACAGTTGCAGGAGAGCCCCTGAATGTTTCCACGTTTGTCCCGTCGGAACTGAGGAGCCCTCATTTGCGCCATAAACAGTGGCCTTTTTTTCACCCGCCATCACTCCCCTCTCCATGCCCTTTTCGTCTCGGACTTTAGCGGGGCAAAGCACTGCAACTAACACCTCGCCACGTTGTAATAGCGGCCGAGGCAGTGGAAGCATGACACGTGAAGATCGCTATTTTAAAGCCACGTTTCACACTCCGCACGCCTACAAGGACACGACGCCATTCTCCACGCGGTCGTTCCTTCATTGTTTTACTGAAGCACTGTACACCGCTAAATATCAATAAAAGCAGTGAGAAAATATGCTCCCTGACCTTAAACAACGCTATCGTTAGCTTCCCAATGCGTTTACACAACACGTGCTCGATTTCACCAAATGGATTTAATAAGTACTCGCTGGCTCTGGCCATTATTTGACTAAGTTGATAAACAAGTTCCCGTCGTGCTGAGTAGGGAACTTTTTGGGACTGAGGATGGCCGAGAGGAGGTCACATGGAGGGGAGGTGAACCCCTATGCCAAAATGTATATATTAAATTAATAATAATAATGCAATGCATAACGCGCGCAAATTTGCGGACGTAATGGCCGTAACTCAGAGGTGCGGAGCCGAGCTCAGAGTCGCTCAAAAGCGCGGTTATAGAGGTGCGTTTTTAAGTCTCTCTTGAAGGAGGCGATTGAGGTGATGCTGCGAATGTGCAGAGGGATATCGTTCCAGACTGTTGGGGCTGCCACCCAGAAGCGGCGCATAAACATGACCATCCTGGATCTTGGTATCAAGAGGAGGTCGTGAGTCGCGCTGCGCAGGCATCTGCCGTGTGCTCCGCTGCAAGTTGTCAATAATGAAGAAAAGTACGGCGGGCAGGCGGATATGAAGGCATTGTGGCAGAGGCAGGCGATCTTGTATGTGACCCTACTGGCGATGTAGATGTAATATTGTACGCACTAGCTAAGTTCCCTGTGTGCTGGGCATGGGAATGGTTTCCTAATGTCTATCTCCGAAGCGTGTCAGTGACAACTGTATGCATATTAATGAATCGCTGCACGTCATTTCATGCACGCATCATGACTGACAATTCATTTTAATCGATCGTTTTCATCCACTGTAGGTCGAGTTAGTTTATGTAGAACCAGCAAGAGAGCCACAGAGATGCAGGTCTATTTTTCAAGGCAGATACTGTGGTGCAAAAAAAAACAGAACACAAAATAAAGTCCAGAAAAATTAAGGGAATAAACGAGTCGTAAGAAGTAGTAAAACAGAGCACTAATAAAATATATATTACCGGACAAAAG